CATATTTTGATCAATTTTTATAGAGCTATTTTAGTTCTTTGTATTTTCTGAATACTAATTTTTTTATCATCAGTGATATGTGGTACAAATAACATCTTCCAATCTGTGGCTTCTTCCTTTCGCTTTCTTTGGGGGTATTATCTGGTTAATAGAAGTTTTTAATGTCACTATAATATGATATAAATATCTTTCCTTTATTGTTTATGCCTTTTGAGTCTTGTTTATAAAATTCTTCCTTTCCTTGTATTTTCTCCTAAAATGTTTATGTTTTCTCTTTCATATTTAAGTCCTTAACTTTCTTGGAATTAACTCATGTATATGGTACAAAGAAAGAATTCAATTTCATAGTTTTAAAAATCTGTATAACCAATTATTCCAGCATCATTTATTGAATTAGCCACCGTTGTCCCACTGATCTGTGAAGTAGACTTCGTTGTGAATAAAATTTTCCTGTATTCATGGATTCATATCTGATTGTATTTGTTTTTTTATTCCTGAACTAAACTACATTGTCTTAATTACTATAGCTTTATAATAAGTCTTATTATCTAGAACAACTTTTCTAACTATGTTCTTCTTTCAAAGAATCTTAGCTCTTCTCAGCTCTTTGCTCTTCCATAAAAATGTTAGAATCAGCCTGTCAAGTTCCATGAAAACCTTGTTGGGATTTGACTGGAATAACATTGACTTTATAGGTTATTTTGGGAATAATTGACTTGTTTATAAGAGTGAGTCTTTCTGTCCATTAACCATGTCTTATTTCCAATCTCATCTTCTGCTCTTCATCAAGCAAGCCATCAGGCCCAGAGGAGAAATTCAACATATTCTGTTGAATGGCTTGATTAATTGTTGAGTGGGGTAAACCTACCTGGGAATCTCTGGGAGCTCTTCGCCACTGCATTCCTACCAGACAGTCTTATTTGCAATGAAATATCTCCAAGATTTCCTAACAGGGGTTTAGTGACCCAGAGAACAGACACAAGGCAGGAGGAAAGGCGAGGGTGAGGGTTTCCAGGTGATGCCCACAGAAGTTTGTTGCAATACAGCGTTTGTTGACTACCCCGAGCTGGGCTTTGTGCGTTATCTATGCAGCACAACCTGTCTCAGCAGGCACAACCAGTTCAATCACTGTGTGTTTAATATTAACAGAGGAAAGGATGATGGTGGGGGAGGAGGTACTGTCAAAACCATTTTAAACAAAGTGGAAGTCATCCACTGTGATTAATATTCAGGAAAACTGATAGAATCACTTTATTTCTACTCCGGTAAGAAGGTAACCAAGAAAAGTGTTCACCTTAACCCCGTGACAAATTGAGTTTTTACAGGTTTTAATACAGTGAAGCTTTAAGAACGGATTAGTAAACTTACTGCTTAACATTTTGTGTCAATAAATAGTTTGAACTCACTATGAATTTTCCTACTAGACTCTGGTTTATGACATGAACAATGTAACAAAAGCATTAAAAAAACAAAAAAAAACCCAGACAATCTGCATATCAGAAAAAGAAGCTGTCAAATGTATGATCACTTAAGAGAACGCTCTCCCCCTATTAAAACTGTTAATGGCTTAGGAAAAATTACAACATAAAGGAAGCAACAGAAGCGTATTCAC